ATTGGGATGGGATGAGAGGAGGTGGTTTCGAGGTGGGGTGTAATATTCATAAAAGATTTTAATTTTTTTCAAAAGAAATTTACGAGTTGAGATGGGGTGAAGTAGGGTGGGTAAAGTGTAATCTTGAGCAAAGTTTCAATTTTCGAATTTTTTTTACAGGTACAGTAGGTTGGACGGGTTGGGTTGGGGATACTATTAATTTGGTGGGATAATTAATTCATTAACACATGAATTTTGAAATAATTTGACAAGTTTGTTAGTGTTAAAATGTAATTCTTACATGTATGAATTATATATTATTCCTTGGAGTTAATGGAAGGGCGAGATTCAAAGGAGCCCAAAATGGAGTAATTGGGGACGTTAGGTCATTTTAAACGTAAGGATTTGAGCCCACAGATTTTACTGGAAATTACAATAGATCAGACTTCTCAAGATCATAGTTCAAAAATCAGATAATAAGTTTATTTAATCATAAATCAAATGATGATGATGATGATGATGATGATGATAATAATAATAATATTAATAATAATAAATCAATCCAACTCCATCCTAATCCAATTTAATCCCAAACCCTAAAACTCATATCTCTCAATCTTCTCTCTTCTCGCTCTCTCTATTTAACTTGCACCTTCGACATCGTCGCACCACAGTCGGAGACCACCTTCGAGCTCACAGCGATGGCTAATCACCATTGAGTTGTGACTACCGATTGGCTTGCTCAGGCTGAAGCCTCGGTGAACTATGAGATTGCTAATCTGAGATTTGAGTGTCGTCGTCGCTGGAGATTGCATTGCCGCCTGCTGGAGAAGATTTGCACTGTTGTCTCGTTGAAAGTAGGAAAGCTGCAACACCGATGTCTGAGATCGATGATGTTGCTGCGCACAGTTTCAGCTTTTTTCGATCTATACCGTCAATTTAGAGATTACACCATCGGTGATGGAGAGTTTTGAGTGCTATAGCAAGAGAAAGGTGATGGTGTTAGTAGGGATGACAAAAAAATTCAACAAACTCGATACTCGCGGGGCCCACCCCCAACAGGGCGGGGACAACCCGCTTAA